TTTCTTAATGAGGAAGGGACATCCTCTACTGTCTCTACTCACAACTATTTTCTTTATTTATTTATTTATTTATTTATATATATATATACAAGAAGGTACATTGGGATTGTGAGGATACATAGCATAGTAATTACATTCTTGTAAAGCCACTAGTACGCGCAGCTTAGGTTGAACCTTACCACTGACTTTCTTGGGACCCATGGCGTGATATATAATAATCAGTTTTATGTTCGAAAAGCAAAAAATCACCATAAAATCACCACCAGCTCTAGTAAACTGAGGCAGGTCGGCCCGCGTGACCGGGAACCACGAGCTCGGTCAACCCAAACGTGTACCAACAAATATTGTTAGTCGACGTCACTATCGTAAGTCGAGTCACATTTTTCAATCAAATTTACATCGTAACTCGAAATTATCGTAAGTCGGGGCAATCGTAAGTCGAGGTGCCACTGTATTTGGTTGGGTTTTGTCATCAATGTCATCACTACTTGGTAATGCAAAGCGTTAGGAAAGAAATTCTTTGATATGGACTGTCACATTGTTGTACCACATAAAAGAAGAAATACATGAGTGGGTCATGAGGTTGGGACAGAGTCCACTCGGAGCACAATATGTGGGCCGCCAGATGAAAATAAAACTCCAACTCTATGGAGTGAGAGGTCACTCCCTTCAGTACAACTTATTTATTTATTTTTTTATTTATTTATTTATTTATATACTGTATATACAAGAAGGTACATTGGGATTGTGAGGATACATAGCATAGTAATTACATTCTTGTAAAGCCACTAGTACGTGCAGCGTTTCGGGCAGGTCCTTAAACTAAGAAACTTATAAGTAGGTAAATACTTGCAAAATTTATAAAAATTATAACAGTTACATAGCATGAGAAAAAATAAAAGATGAGAGAAAAATTGTAGGTATATTAAAGCACATCGGTAGCTCAGAATGATTGCAATGACAGCTTGAGTGGTAGTTTAACAAAACTTAGCAGGCACAATACAGCATATGGCTAGCACATAAAAGAAGACAGCAATGAATACAATGATAAAGTTGTTTGGGTTAAGTACATAAAGATTGGGAGATTAGGTAACACTAGATACAGAGCAAATTTAAAGCTCAGTGTTGGAAACTACGAAGATGAAATTAGGTACTTTTTGGTTTTGTTTTTAAATGAGGTAAAAGTTTGACAGCTTTTCAATTCATTAGGGAGTGAGTTCCATAGACTAGGTCCCTTAATTTGTATAGTGTGTTTACACAGATTAAGTTTGACCCTGGGGATATCAAAGAGATATTTATTTCTGGTGTGGTGATAATGGGTCCTATTACATCTGTCCAGGGAGAGTTTCAGAGCATGGTTTGCATTTAAGAACAGGGTTTTGTAAATGTAGTTGACACAAGAGAATGTGTGGAGGGAGTTAATATTTAACAAGTTAAGGGATTTAAACAAGGAAGCTGAGTGTTGTCTGAAAGCAGAGTTAGTTATTATTCTGATAGCAAATTTTTGCTGGGTGATGATGGGCTTAAGGTGGTTTGCAGTGGTAGGGTGGTACCACTTAACAAGTTACCACTTGGTAACTTAGGGTGGACGGTAGAGCAATAGTTTTGCTTCATGCAGGTCGGTGTTCAATCTCCGACTGTCCAAGTGGTTGGGCACCATTGCTTCCCCCCTATCCCATACCAAATACTTATCCTAATCCCCCTTCCAAGTGCTATATAGTCGTAATGGCTTGGTGCTTTATCCTGATAAATCCCTCCCTTCCCTTCAGTACTTGCAATCTTACCTTAGTGACAGGCAGCAGTATGTTTCAGTGAACGATGCCACTTCTACTCTCACAATTAACATTGGCTTTCTCTAGGGTACTATACTTGGTCCACTCCTGTTTCCTCATGTATATCAGTGATCTTCCAAATACCACACAACATTTAAAGCCAGTTTTGTATGCTGATTATACAACCTTCATTTTCTCACGTGCTAACCCACTTAATATGGGTTAGGTGAAGTAACTTCACTAACTTAAAGTAACTTAACTTCACTTCAAGATGGGACACGACGAGCATAGCTCTTATCCTGTAACTACACTTAGGTAATTACTTATTCTAAACGACACAGTGAATACTGAAGTAAATCAACTCCATTTGTGGTTGACTGCCAACAAACAAGAGGTTTTACATAATGTTTGGTAACAAGTCCAACAATTACATTAATCTAAGAATTAATGATACCCAAATTACGGGTAGAGTAGAAGGGAAGTTCCTTGGTGTTCACATTGACCATAAACTAAATTTCCATTGCCATATACAAAATATAACTAAAAAATTTCTAAGACAGTGGAGGCATTCTCTTCAAAATCAGATACAGTACTATGTTCCTCGCTTTGCCCTAGTTACTCTACACTTAATGCATATCTCACCTTTGATATCTGTGCCAGGAGGATCCACCACCATTAATTACCTCCGACCTCTAATTACTCAACCAAAAATCAGGAATTAGATCAATAACAAATTCCAGTCTCAGACACCACTCAGCTCTCTTAGGGAAATCTTTGACCATGTTAAATATCAAGTCTCTGGACACACTCTGAAGCATTCTCTATATCTACAAAACTCTGAACTGTAATGCCAATCCTGACCTAGCAGGCTGTAATAGAACTCAAGGTAACTACACAAGGAACAAATAGTAGTAGGCATCCATCAGGGCCACATACCCACCACAGCTCAGTCGGGCTGTGGTGGGTATGTGGGCCTGCGGGCCGCTCCAAGCAACAGCCTTTTGGACCAAACTCTCACAAGTCAAGCCTGGCCTCGGGCCGGGCTTGGGGAGTAGAAGAACTCCCAGAACCCCTTCAACCAGGTATCAACCAGGTATCAGTCTCAGGAGACTATGTTGTTGAACTCTGGTTATCGATCTGGAGTGACTTCTCCAGGGTGCAAAGCCAGGGTGGATTGATATGGGGGGAGAAGCTGTCACCCATACAGCAGGTCCTTCCCTTTCCACAGCGCAGAAAGTCTCCAGTGGAGACTTGAGGAACAAATATCTCTTTGATATTCCTAGAGTTGAGACTCAACCAAAGCTGAAATGCATTGCAAATCAAGGATCTATACATTGAAATGGATTGGATCCATGTTTGTGGAACGATCTCACAAATGTAGTTAAAAAGCTGTATGTCTCTCAACCAGTTTAAAAGAGAGACTTAAGAAATATTTACTTAATATCGTGCAATTAATGCCCAAAAAGCTAAGCGTACTAGTGGCTGTACAAGAATGTAAGAACTCTTGCATATATAAATAAATAAAAAAATAAAAATAACACTGTCATATACTCAATATTATGTAACTAGTTTCTCTCACATTTTCCCAAGTTTTAAGGTCTTAGTGTGTTAATATTTTCTAGTATTTTTTTTTTACTAATAAGTACTGTATGTCCTTTCTTCATTGTCTTCAAGTTTTTTGCATTTCATTCGTAAAGTGTTTCTTGTGTCTTTTTCTATCTTTTTCTATCTTTTTTTTCTTTTCTATCTTTTTTTCTATCTTTTTCTATCTTTTGCAATTAGAGTCAGCTATCAGCTTGCTACTTCCACTGCGAGCTGACTCTTCTTCAGTCATCTTTCTTGTGTGGAGTAAATTAGATTTATGCCTCCTAACCCCCAGGGGGCCTGTTTACAGTTTAACAGGACATGTTTTGTGAGTCTTAGACTCCGTTAGTCATTCCTGTTGCCTCCAATTTGTGGTCTGCTGATGAGGGGTTCTTTTTATCCGTGGGTGGGTACCATTGGTTGGTGCTGGACTATAGTTCTGACATTGTAATTATAAGGTGTGAAGGATAGATGCAATTGTTTATGTAATAATCTCCGTTGAGGTCTGATAAAGACCTTTTGTGCCCTCTGTAATAATGTAATGCCCTCTGTAAGCGCATCCTGTGCGTTACCACTCACAGGATGAGTATGGGGTGCACAATAAACCAGATGCCTCTGGCAGCAACAATCAATACAATTTTAATGAACAAATCCACAAGGGCCGTGATGAGGGTTCGAATCTCATCATGTGTATTGAAGTAAGGGCGAAGAGGTAGAACAGCTTGCTGACAGAGCCCAGGTGCATGGGGAGAATTGTGTAAAACCCCGGTTTGTGTCTCAGAGAGGCTGCAGGATCTGTGTGAGGTCAGTTGAACTCCCGGTTGCAATTCTTTTCCATGTCGTGGTGCAGTCAACTAAGGCACGTTTGGGATCATCCCGGATGTAGGTTCGAACCCTCATCATGGCCTTTGTGGATTTGTTCATTTGATATATCATGCTATTGTGATTTCTGTGTGTAATACAGTTTTGGTTGAACTGCTCTCTCAGGCTGTCACCACTCTATGATTTAGGCATTTACAGCCTCATCTACAGATATGAATATGCCTTGTCTTTTTTATGAGTACTTCAGTGAGTGTGGGTCTTCGACACTTTTGCCTTGGAGCAGCTAAGCTTCCTCTGCTGCTCTTGCCTCGGGGGGGGGGGGGGGGGGGGAACAGTATAGTAATTATATCAGTGCATGTTGGTGGATATTTTCTGGAGGCTACTTAGTGACTCCCTGTAGACCACAGAGCCACACAGGACCAACCAGAAAGGGGTATTTCTGGAGGCTACTTAGTGACTCCCTGTAGACCACAGAGCCCCACAGGACCAACCACAAAGGGTATTTCATTACACTCAGCACTGGTTTTTAACCACCTGGTAAATTCATGGTGCTCTCAAAATAGAGCAAATTTCAAAATAGACATGGAGTAAATTCCTGCAGTGTAAATAAGAATAATAAGAATACATTTTACATAGTAATTCCTGTTGCCTGTTGAATTGCATCCACATAAAACAATGACCCTATGTCCAACATCCACTCTAACATGCATTCAGACTTCCAAAAAATACAGCCAGTTTATTGTGATAAATTATTATATGAGGAAGTCAGTTCTATATTCATTACATTTTGCTTTGTGTTATCGTAATGTTTTCTTGCCACAGCACCGATCAAGACGGTCTTGCGGAATGGATGATGATAGAGCTCCAGGGAGACCTGGAGTCGCGGACCAAGTCAGAAATGCGAAACAAATTCATTGGAGATGTTCACTTCACCAAGCAGGTGCGTTGATTTATTTTATTGTTGAAAGATTTTAATGGTAAATAGTATTGGAATTTGAAATACAGTACAGTGGCACCTCGATTAACGAGCGGCTCTATCTACGAGCGAGCCACTCGCAGAACATTAGTCTCTATTAACGAGCTTTACCTCGATTAACGAGCGTTTTCGCTGGTTCTCGGACACCTTTTATGACAATTTTGTTGTTGTTTCGCAAGACGAGTTTTCCACATGACGAGCTCGGTGCCGGAACAGATTAAACTCATTAATCGAGGTGCCACTGTATGTGTGTATGTGAATTTGGAGAGATTTGTGGAAGCACTTTTATGCAAAGTTTTCATATGCTCTGATGAAATTTAGAGTTACACGGATTGCAAGTTGGACACTCACACTACAGTCTTTGGGGTTTTATTTATATACTGTATAGTACATGCTGTACCTAATTGCCAGGAACTGTGCTGCTTGGCCTAGTAGGTAAAGTCCGATTTGCCTAACATACAGAACAATTTTCATTAATTTCAGATTGGTTCTTTTCGAACAATAATAGTATATTATGAGAAGATCCACAGGAGCCATGATGAGGATTTGAACCTATGCGCTGGGTGTTCCCAGATGCACACTCTAATCGACTATGCCACAACATGGTAAAAAAATTGCAACGTGGGGAGGGGCAGTGAGAAGAAGAAAAGAGAAGGGAGGAGAAAAAGAAGGCGAATGAGAGGGGAAAATTTGCTGTATGGAGAATTCATCAAATTTAACTTCAACAATAAACAGATAAACTGGGAGCAAATAAACCAAGACTTCACAGCAATAAACTGAGAAGAACAGCTAGAAAATGCAAACCTGAACCAGTGCCTGGAAAAAATAAACTCAGTAGCTCTAGAAATATGCTCAAATCACATACACCTATGAAAAAAAAGAGGAAGAGATGCAGACTGGAACGGGAACAGCGTTTCCTCTATAGGCGTAGAAAATGAATCGTGGAACAACTTGAGAGTCGCACCCTATCTCAAGAACGACGAAGAAGGCTAAATAGAGAAATAGAAATGATTGAACTAAAGCTACAAGAATCATACAAAATTCAAGAGAGACAAAGAGAGCAAAAAGGCCATCAGTGAAATAGAGAGAAATCCCAAATATTTTCTCTTCTATGCAAAATCAAGATCAAAAACTACATCTAGTATTGGGCCCCTGCGACATAGAGATGGAACTTTCACAGGTGACAACAAAGAAATGAGCGAAATACTGAGGAATCAGTACGACTGTTTTCAGCGAGCCATTAAACGCACTAAAAGATTGATAACCCAAATGAATTTTTCATGGATACGATACCAACATCAAATCATATATCAGACGTCACCCTATCCCCACTGAATTTTGAAGAAGCCATAGACAGTATGCCTATGCATTCTGCACCAGGTCCTGATTCCTGGAACTCCATATTCATCAAGAACGGTAAAAAACCACTGTCGCAGGCTCTTCACATTCTTTGGAGGCAAAGCCTTGATACTGGCGTTATCCCTGACATACTAAAAACAGCAGAGATAGCACCACCTTTATAAGGCAGAAGCAAAAAATTACAAACTGATAGCACTAGCATCACACATCATAAAAATCTTTGAGAGTGTGCTAAGAAGTAAGATCACAAAATACATGGAATTACAGCATCTCCATAACCCCGGACAACATGGTTTCAGAACAGGGCGCTCTTGCCTGCCACAGTTGCTGGACCAATATGATATGGCATTAGATGCTATGGAAGACAAGCAAAACGCTGATGTAATTTACACAGATTTTGCAAAAGCCGTTGACAAATGTGACCTTATTGCAATAATGTGGTGTTATTGCGCACAAAATGCATGCAAAAAGGAATTACCGGAAAAATAGCCAGATGGATCTACAATTTCCTGACTAACAGAAGTCTGTAATAGTCAACAAAATAAAATACGGTCCATCAACCGTGAAGAGCTGTCCCCTCAGGGTACTGTGCTTGCTCCATTACTCTTTCTCATCCTCAAATCGGAAATAGACAAGGACACAATCTATAGCACTGTATCATCCTTTGCAGATGACACTAGAATTTTTATTTGAGTTGGCAACATAGAGAACACGGCGAACCTCCAATCAGATGTAAATCAGGTCTTTCAATGGGCTACAGAAAATAATATGGTATTTAATGAAGATAAGTTCCAGCTATTGCACTATGGAAAATTTAAAATATAAAATAGAAACCACATACAAAATGCAGTCAAATCATAACATAGAACGAAAAAGCAATGTACAGGATTTGGGTGTACTCATGTCGGAAGACATTACCTTTAAAGAACACAATAAAGTAGCCGTCACAACTGCAAGAAAAATGACAGGTTGGATAACAAGAACTGTTCATTCAAACTACAGATGCTATACCAATGATGATACTCTTCAAAACACTAGTGCTTTCTAGAGTGGAGTACTGCTGCACAATGACAGCACCTTTCAAAGCTGGAGAAATTGCTGACCTGGAGAGTATGCAGAGATCCTATACTGCTAGAATCCACTTAGTAAAACATCTAAACTATTGGGACCGACTAAAATGCCTAAATCTGTATTCTCTTGAGTGCAGGCAGGTGAGATACATAATAATTTACACGTGGAAAATAGTAGTGGGGCTGGTCCCAAACCTGCACAGAAATAACATCACATGAGACCAGAAGGCATGGCAGGATGTGCAGAATACCCCCGTTGAAAAGCAGAGGTGCAACAGGTACTCTGAAAGAGAACTTTATCAACATCAGAGGCCCGAGACTGTTCAACACGCTTCCACTACACATAACTGGCCGACCCCTCACAGTGTTGAAGAGAGAACTATCAACATCAGAGGCCCGAGACTGTTCAACACGCTTCCACCACACATAAGGGACATAACTGGCAGACCCCTCACAGTGTTCAAAAGAGAACTATCAACATCAGAGGCCCGAGACTGTTCAACACGCTTCCACTACACATAAGGGACATAACTGGCAGACCCCTCACAGTGTTCAAGAGAGAACTATCAACATCAGAGGCCCAAGACTGTTCAACACGCTTCCACTACACATAACTGGCTGACCCCTCACAGTGTTCAAGAGAGAACTATCAACATCAGAGGCCGGAGACTGTTCAACACGCTTCCACTACACATAATTGGCCAACCCCTCACAGTGTTCAAGAGAGAACTATCAACATCAGAGGCATGAGACTGTTCAACACGCTTCCACTACACATAACTGGCCGACCCCTCACAGTGTTCAAGAGAGAACTATCAACATCAGAGGCCGGAGACTGTTCAACACGCTTCCACTACACATAACTGGCCAACCCCTCACAGTGTTCAAGAGAGAACTATCAACATCAGAGGCCCGAGACTGTTCAACACGCTTCCACTACACATAAGGGACATAATTGGCCGACCCCTCGCAGTGTTCAAGAGAACTCGATAAGCACCGCCAAAGGATACCTGATCAATCAGGCTGTGATTCATACATCAGGCTGCAAGCAGCCGCGTCCGACAGCCTGGTTGACCAGTCCAGCAACCAGGAGGCCTGGTCGACGACCGGGCCACGAGGACGCTAAGCCCCGGGAACACCACAAGGTATACTGGGGCACTACTGCACCCTCAAGGATTACCAAGGCTTCCACTGAAGCCGAACTAGAATCTCGGCCTCGGGAACCCTCGAAAATGCAGTAGTACCCCCAGGCTGCAATTCTTTTACCATGTCGTGGTATAATCAACTAGAGTGTTCATCTGGAAACACCTACGGCATAGATCTAATCCTCTCAACACAACTCCTGTGGGTTTTCTCATTGATATATATCACAATAATGTGATTTCTCTGTGTATTGAAAGAGGGGCGTCAAGAGGAAGAATTACTGGACGACAGAGCCAGATTGCATGAGGGAATTTTATGAAATCCCGGTTCAGCTTCAGTGGAAGCAGCAGGAATTCTCAGGGGTAAACTAGTACCCAAGGTTGCAATTCTTTTACCATGTTGTGGCGGGGCCTGACAGCTGAGTGGACAGCGCTCGGGATTCGTAGTCCTGAGGTTCCGGGTTCGATCCCCGGCGGAGGATCGAACAACAAATGAGCAGTGTCTTTCACCCCTGATGCTCCTGTTCACCTAGCAGTCAATAGGTACCTGGGAGTTAGACAGCTGCTACAGGCTGCTTCCTGTGGTTGTGTAACAAGAAGGAGGCCTTGTCAAGGACTGGGCCACGAGAACGCAAAGCCCCGAAATCATCTCAAGATAGTTGACTAGAGCGTGCATTTGGGAACACCCAACACATAGGTTCGAATCCTCATCACGGCTTCTATGGATTTTCTCAATGATATACAGTATCATGATAATGTGATTTCTATGTGACAGTATATTATACTAGGAACATGATTTACTTAGTTAAGTTAGCAAAGATTTTATAAAAATTTGTCAGTTTTGATTGAAAGTAAATAAACTAATTAAATCAAATACTGTATAATGTAATGAAAAGCTTTATAATTTCATAAGAAAATGTGCTTGAAAATATATTATTTCTGGAAAATTTGGCTTGTTAGGCATCTTGGCCTATTAGGTATAACATACATACAGTATATGTAATTACCTAAGTGTAGTTACAGGATGAGAGCTACGCTCGTGGTGTCCCGTCTTCCCAGCACTCTTTGTCATATAACGCTTTGAAACTACTGACGGTCTTGGCCTCCACCACCTTCTCACCTAACTTGTTCCAACCGTCTACCACTCTGTTTGCGAAAGTGAATTTTCTTATATTTCTTCGACATCTTTGTTTAGCTGGTTTAAATCTATGACCTCTTGTTCTTGAAGTGCCAGGTCTCAGGAAATCTTCCCTATCGATTTTATCAATTCCTGTTACTATTTTGTACGTAGTGATCATATCACCTCCTTTTCTTCTGTCTTCCAGTTTTGGCATATTTAATGCCTCTAACCTCTCCTCGTAGCTCTTGCCCTTCAGTTCTGGGAGCCACTTAGTAGCATGTCTTTGCACCTTTTCCAGTTTGTTGATGTGCTTCTTAAGATATGGGCACCACACAACCGCTGCATATTCTAGCTTTGGCCTAACAAAAGTTGTGAACAATTTCTTTAGTATATCACCATCCATGTATTTAAAAGCAATTCTGAAGTTAGAAAGCGTGGCATAGGCTCCTCGCACAATATTCTTTATGTGGTCCTCGGGTGATAGTTTTCTATCTAGAACCACCCCTAGATCTCTTTCTTTATCAGAATTCTTTAAAGATTTCTTACATAATATATAGGTTGTGTGGGGTCTATATTCTCCTATTCCACATTCCATAACATGGCATTTATTAACATTAAATTCCATTTGCCAAGTGGTGCTCCATATACTTATTTTGTCCAGATCATCTTGAAGGGCATGACAATCATCTAAGTTTCTTATCCTTCCTATAATCTTAGCATCATCAGCAAACATGTTCATATAATTCTGTATACCAACTGGTAGATCATTTATGTAGACAATAAACATCACTGGTGCAAGAACTGAACCCTGTGGTACTCCACTTGTGACATTTCTCCAGTCCAATACATTGCCTCTGATTACTGCCCTCATTTTTCTATCAGTCAGAAAATTTTTCATCCATGTTAGAAGCATACCTGTCACCCCTCCAATATTTTCCAGTTTCCAGAACAACCTCTTATGTTGAAAGCCTTTTTTAGGCCCAGATAGATGCAGTCAACCCAACCATCTCTTTCCTGTAATATCTCTGTGGCTCAATCATAGAAACTGAGTAAATTCGATACACAGGATCTTCCAGATCGAAAACCATACTGTCTGTCTGATATTATATCATTTCTCTCCAGGTGTTCTACCCATTTTGTTTTGATTAGTTTTTCCAATACTTTCACTATTACACTTGTCAATGATACAGGTCTATAATTGAGGGGGGGTCTTCCCTGCTGCCACTTTTGTAGATTGGAACAATGTTAGCCTGTTTCCACTCGTCTGCTACGATTCCTGTACACAGGGATGCCTGAAAGATCAGGTGAAGTGGAATGCTGAGCTCAGATGCACATTCTCTCAGAACCCATGGTGAAACTCCATCTGGGCCAGCTGCTTTGTTCTTACCGAGCTCCTTTAGCATATTTTCCACTTCATCTCTACACCTCTATACACCCTATGTTGTTCTCTGGAATTCTTAATGTATCTGGTTCTCTGAAGATCTGCCTCCTGGTTTGTATGTGTGTCTGTGTATATGTATATACAGTACTGTATGTGTATAACTTATATTAAGCATTGGCTCATTGTACATTTCAATCATTCCATTCTTAATTTATGACTGGAACGTGGAGGAAGCATTAAATATTAATGTTCAAATACTGTACTGTATTTGATTGAGCGAAGTGTAATTTTTGAGGTTTCTGGACCCCCCCATCCTGTGTTTTCTATACACAGTGCCTTGAGGTTATCTTGAGATGATTTCGGGGCTTTAGTGTCCCCGCGGCCCGGTCCTCGACCAGGCCTCCACCCCCAGGAAGCAGCCCGTGGCAGCTGACTAACACCCAGGTACCTATTTTACTGCTAGGTAACAGGGGGCATAGGGTGAAAGAAACTCTGCCCATTGTTTCTCGCCGGCGCCTGGGATCGAACCCAGGACCACAGGATCACAAGTCCAGAGTGCTGTCCGCTCGGCCGACCGGCCTGGCTTTTACAGGAACGCAGCTCCTGCTCAAACCAATGGCTGCCTGTAAATAGGTTCATAAGTAGAAAAATGAGTACAGTTCTAAACACTATACATATCACAAGAGTGTCGCTGAAAGGGGTGGCTCTCTTTGGACAAGAAAATACACTAAGGGGGCCTGACAGCTTAGTGGACAGAGCTTCGGATTCGATCCCCGTTGGAGGCAGAAACAAATGGGCAGTTTCTTTCAGCCTGATGCTCCTGTTCACCTAGCAGTAGTACCTGCTAGTTAGACAGCTGCTACGGGCTGCTTCCTGGGGATGTAATTATCTAAGTGTAGTTACAGGATGAGAGCTACGCTCGTGGTGTCCCGTCTTCCCAGCACTCTTTGTCACATAACGCTTTGAAACTACCGACGGTCTTGGCCTCCACCACCTTCTCACCTAACTTGTTAATAAATGTGTAACGAAAAGGAGGCCTGGTCGAGGACCGGACCGCAGGGACGCTAAGCCCCGAAATCATCTCGAAGATAACCTCCTGAATGCAAAAGGTGTTAATTAACAATCATATTGAGTCTCTTCCCCAGTGTTAATAAGGCTTCTCACTGCTGTATGCACTTTCCATATCCATAGTAACTATGGATATCCATATCCATAAAGTTACTTTTTCCTCTTCCTCCTCTACCTGATCACTTAACACTACACCTTTTCCATTTGTTGATGTTTTTAACACTTTAATGTTTCAACCTGTCGACGTGTTCCGATCATGAACATTTTGGGCATCTCGGGGTCCTGCTTGATGACATCAAACAGTTTTTTACTCTTAAAAGTTTCTTCAGTTTTCAGGTTATTATAAATTTGGTGTCAAAATGATTACTAATAAATTTGCTCAAGTATAGATGCAAACTAAATTATGATTTGAGTATAGAATTTGTCATAATGGGGCTGAATATACATATGTTTATGAGCATATCAACATTCCTATTTCTTTTCGAGTTTCATCTCATAACTTTTGTCATTCAGGTTAACTTATCCAATAGCGACATTGTAGGACTACCAACTCCTTGCTTCAATTTCTCACATCTCGTCACTTGAAACAGCGGACTCTTCAGTTATTCCTACATTGTTTAATTTTAAAGTCAACTTCAGACCGTATTTAATTGACCGTAATAAATTATTCAACTGAAATTTGTATACACAATTTGCAAGAATGGGTGGAGGCCTGGTCTAGGACTGGGTTGCGGGGACACTAAAAAGCCCCGAAATCATCTCAAGATAACCTCAAGATGAGTACTTTGATTTCTTTAAGTATAGGGGTGGAGGTTATGTTTGTGAAATTTAGTTAGCATTTTGAGGTTTTAATGTTCCTTAGGCTCTGGATGGCTGGGAGAATTATCCAATATCTTTCCAGTATACCAATTTAATAGCATCTTTATCCCCCAGGGCATACCAGTTCTTATCATTGGTCATCATATATTATACGGCAAGGTTCAAGATCTCGACAAGCCCTTAGCAGTAATGAGAAAGACGAGGGTTGACGAGAGTATGGACGTTGATGGCCTGCAAGACTTGCAAGATAGACATGCACACCAGTCTGTGGAGTACAGCATCAAGGCAATTGTCAAGAAGAAACTTCTCTTTAAAACTAGGCCAAAGCCAATTATTGCAAGCATGCAAAATTAAATTCAATATTTTATTAAAAAATATTTTTACACTTCCATTTGTTTGATTTACTTTTTACCTACGAATACACAGTACTAGTATGCAAATATGTTGGTAGAATAACAGGCTGGTTTGGTGTCTCATGCTCCCTTGGAAAAGTCATTAGTTGGCCTAATTCTTGGGCACATGTTCACTCCTAGATAAACATCAGTTAGGAAATGATGCTTAAAACATCTCGTCCAATCCAGTAATTGAACCTGGAACAATTTGATTGAGAACCCTCTGCAAGTCTCCATTGTGACTCGTGTAAAAGTCATGGGGCCAGATTCACGAAAGCACTTACGAACGTGTACATCTTTCCTCCATCTTTGACGGCTTTGGTTACATTTATTAAACAGTTTACAAGCATGAAAACTTGCCATTCAACTGTTGTTAATGTTATAAACAGCCTCCTGGTGCTTCGGAGCTCATTAACTGTTTAATAATTGGAAACAAAGCCGCCAAAGATTGAGAAAAGGTGTACAGGTTTGTAAGTGCTTTCGTGAATCTGGCCCATGTATTGTACTGTATATCAATAATGCTACACTTTTGAGAGAAACTGCTTCTGTATTTTATCATTCAGAGTATTCTCTTCTAATGTATCAAAGTTTTAAGTATACAATAATTTTGTTGTCATTGTCCCCTACAAAGCTGAGAAATTATAGTCTCCAGCACTTCTGCAGTTATTACATTTTTCACTTGATACCTGGTTGATGGGGTTCTGGGAGTTCTTCTCCTCCCCAAGTGAGAGTGAGACTTGTGAGAGTTTGGTCCACCAGGCTGTTGCTTGGAGCGGCCCGCAGGCCCACATACCCACCACAGCCCGGTTGGTCCGGCACTCCTTGGAGGAATAAATCTAGTTTCCTCTTTGAAGAACTTGCCTTTGGCTTTTTCTAGTGCCCTAAACTGGTCCCTTTATCCCCTATCTTTTTTCAGTTTAACATTCATTCCACCATATCTTATGTCTGTAAATGGTATACTTGGAGTAGGTTATTGCAAGGTGTTCTGCTTTCAGGAGGTCAGAAAGCGGAATAATAGCTTTAAGAATTGTTAGACAGGGGCCAGATTCACGAAAGGACTTACGCAAACACTTAAGAACGTGTACATCTTTCCTCAATCATAGACGGCTTTGGTTACATTTATTAAAAAGTTTACAAGCATGAAAACTTGCCATTCAACTGTTTTTATTGTTGTAAACAGCCTCCTGGTGCTTCGGAGCTCATTAACTGTTTAATAATTGTAAACGAAGCCGCCAAAGATTGAGAAAAGATGTACAGGTTCGTAAGTGCTTGCGTAAGTTCTTTCGTGAATCTGACCCCTGGGTTGTAGATGTGGGCCTCTGGGTTGCTTCAAGCAAGTGTTGGACCAAAGTATCACAAATCAAGCCTGGCCTAAGGTTACCTTAAGGTGCTTCCGGGGCTTAGCGTCCCCACGGGGACTTACGCCGGGGCTTAGCGGCCCCACGGGGACTTACGCCGGGGCTTAGCGTGGGGACGCTAAGCCCCGGAAGCACCTTAAGGTAACCTTAGGCCAGGCTTGATTTGTGATACTTTGGTCCAACACAGCCCAGAGCCCACATCTATAACCCAGGTCTAACAGTTCTTAAAGCTACTATTATCTCTCAAACCACTTTGTGCAATAAAGTTTGCTCGAATAATGTCAAATAGCCATGAACCTCTTGAGGTTCAGTGAGATTGTGCATATGGAACCTTCACTGGCTCTATTCTGTATTTCCTGTATGTTGTTCGCTCTTAAGACTTTTTACCATTTGCTGTAAATTTGGGCCCCCTGGCCTGCCGTGTTTTCCATGAAAGTAATTACAGCCATCTTTGTTTAGTGCACACCTGGAAAGCGTAATTCAATGTGCTTTATCCTGGGTGTTCTCCATTTTAATACAGTATTATCCTGCTAAGAAAGGGAAGTACTATTGCCAGACCATTAAGGGATTAATAGTGATGTAATCCCTGGATTTGAAAGTTTCAATAATCCCTTCGTCAATCCTAGCTAATGCTAGATTTTTGCTTTGGTTTGTTCACTAAACTTTAGCCAACACTAGCTTATGAAATTAAGGCCCTTTTAAGGCATGCCATTTTGTTCTAGGTTAATGTGCATAGTACACCTGACCTTTTAAAAGTAAGTAATTATCAATAGAAGGCACCAAACCGGCAAGGCTATGTAGCACCATTGACCTTTTAAAAGCTGTAGGGTGCTTTTAATGCATACATCTTTAGATCAAATGCTGTATAATAGTTATCAATTCTGGCAAATGGCCAAACTAGAGCATGACTTGTGTAATTGTACCATTTAAATGTCTAAAATCTAATTCTCAGTACATAATATAGTATTAATATAGCAGTACAGTACCGTGTAAGAGATTGCAAAAATTAACTTCAAGTCATTTTAAAGAATACAGTCTCCGTGGTGTAGTGGTAAGACACTCGCCTGGCGTTCCGCGAGCGCTATGTCATGGGTTCGTATCCTGGCCGGGGAGGATTTACTGGGCGCAATTCCTTAACTGTAGCCTCTGTTTAACGCAACAGTAAAATGTGTACTTGGATGAAAAAACGATTCTTCGCGGCAGGGGATCGTATTCCAGGGACCTGCCCGAAATGCTAAGTGTACTAGTGGCTGTACAAGAATGTAACAACTCTTGTATATATCTCAAATAGTCAAGTTATGTGTCAATAGGACAGTACCAACAAAGTGTAAATTTACAATTTTTATTTAACTTATGATAATTTATTACAGGAATGGTTTTGCCATTGAAAAGTTATGACGATGGGGCTTATGCATTGATAAGTGATTCTGTACAAACTATATTCCAAAACCCCCCATTCAAGGGGCTTTTAAAAAATGAAATATGAACAAGGGCCTCTTTTAGATCTTTTCTTTCCTGGACAGGCAAGTACAGTTCATGGAACTATGATATGAGGATAGGTAACGGGCCTTGACAGTGATTTGTACATGCTTGGCCCACGACCCGTCCGCAACACCTGCCTGCCCATCCCTCCCGGCTGTTGCTTGCTCGAGCAGATCGACAATTTGGTATAATAGATGAAATTTTTACTCTCCACCGCCAGACTTTGTACCGAAGAGCAGCAGCTGGATCTCGTCGTACATCACCAGCACGAGGGCACCACCTGTGGAAGGTTCAGTACTCGTGTTAAAATACAAAGTTAAAAGTTCATGTTATTTAAACCGTCAACAATGTTAACAGCAAGAATTATAACACTAATTCACAAAGTCAAATTTGAAATTAATACAAGTAAACCCTCTAAATCTAATTTTATTAACCCGAGTTCCACATCTAACCCGCCATGACAAAATGGGTATGAACAACAAATGCTTCGGTAAATCATTCCTACACAATTTTAAATCTTTTGATCCTTTTAAGGGGGCGGTATTTGGATACAGTAAAGTAGTTGTTCAGTGTCAACCATTATTTTTCACTAGTTGTATATGAAAAGGACTGCAATTATTCTAAGTTTCAGTACTGTAGCCTAAATAGTAAGGGAGATTTTTAAATTTTTTTTATTTTTTTTTCAACAAATTTTACACATTTTCAAGTGTAAGTTTACAACCACACCTTTCAGATATAATCATTCTATGACACATTAACATATAATAAAGGATCTCTTGCAAGGGATTTTCCAAAACGTCTTTAGTTTTCCTAATACAAATAGTCTAAGTTCCCCAAATTATGCAAATATATCATGTTTATTGCTATTATAAAGTCAATAAATGAACTCTAAGATAAAAATGCTTGCTTAAGATTTTAGACATAAAATTTACATATAATATGTAAGTTTCATGTAAATTGAATAAAAAATGAAAGATTCATTTTCAAGTAACAACATTCAAGTAAAAAATAAAGTCTAAGGTGCTGCCATCTGTGACTGAGGTTGAGCTCTGGCTCTTTGGTCCCACCTCTCAACTGTCAATCAACTGGTGTACAGATTCCTGAGCCTACTGGGCTCTATCATATCTACATTTGAAACTGTGTATGGAGTCAGCCTCCACCACATTACTTCCTAGTGCATTCCACCTGTTAACTACTCGTGACACTGAAAAAATTCTTTCTAACATCTGTGGCTCATCTGGGTACTAAGTTTCCACCTGTGTCCCCTTGTTCGTGTTCCATCCACGCTAAAGAGTTTGTCTTTGTCCACCCTGTCAATTCCCGAGAATTTTGTAGGTGGTTATCATGTCTCCCCTTACTCTTCTATTTTCCAGGGTTGTGAGGTTCAGCTCCCTTAGCCTTTCCTCGAAACTCATTCCTCTCCGGGACCAGTCTGGTGGCATACAGAATATACATGGAAGAGGGCTACACAACATAATGAAAGCATTAAGCCTGGGGGCTCCCACACAAGTGAAAGGTGCAGGGCCGTTTCTTAGTAATCTACATCGACAGTTGCAGTCTGATGCCTGGTTGATGGGTGTTCTGAGAGCTGTTCTCCCCATGCCCGGCCCGAGGCCAAGCTTGACTTGTGAGTTTGGTCCACCAGGCTGTTGCTTAGAGCAGCTCGCAGGCCCACATGCCCACCACAGTCTGGTTGGTCCGGCATTCCGAGAAAATGATTAGTTTTCTCTTGAAGATGTCCACGGTTGTTCCGGCAATATTTCTTATGCTCGCTGGGGGAGGACGTTGAACAACCGTGGACCTCTGATGTTTATACAGTTCTCTCTAATTGTGCCTATGGCACCTCTGCTCTTCACATGCTACACGATATCATCCGTAGTTATGCTGTACACGTACAGTAATGTTATATAACTAAGCCATGTTAATTCCTCCAATTTTCTCCTTGAACAAATCCACAAGGGCCTGGATGAGGGTTTGAATCTATGCACCGAGAGTTCCTAGACTCGCTCTAGTAAACTGTACCACGACATGTTAAAATTGCAACTTTGAGTGCTACTGCCCCCCCCCCCAAGAGGACCCCCAAGGCTTCCACCGAAGTCTAACCATTTGGAGGCCTGGTCGAGGACCGGGCCGCTGGGACACTGAAAAGCCCCGAAATCATCTCAAGATAACCAGGGTGTCAAAGAATTCCCTCCCATGCACCCAGGCTGTCAACCAAATAGTTATACCTCGGACACCTCTACTTCAATACACAAATCACACGATGTATCGAATGAAGGGTCGATGCCTCATCAAGGCCGTTGTCGATGTGTTCATTTGATCATCACGTTACTGTGATATTGGTACGCATTTTCCTTTACCACAGAACTACCACCTAACACCCCAAAATCTGCTCTTGCCAATATTTTTACACATCTCAATTTTATGCTTGAACTATAGAGAGAAAAGTGAACGAGTAAAGTCAATTGTTTGAGGAAGATTGCAGTGGGGGAAGAAAATTAGTCGTGTGCACACGTGAACAGACTTAAAAACAACCTAGCAATAGGCCCCCCCCCCCCACCACAGCAAACTACTATGCTTCCCTACAACGCAGTAACAATGCATTTGGAATGTTATTGTTTAAGATTCGCTACCTGGAACAACAAGTTCCAAGTAGCACGGGGCTATGGTGAGCCCGTAGTGCATTTGGAAGCTTTGCATAAACCTGCCTGTATCATGTTTTATACTGCAGCACCTGGTATGACTATTCTAATATCACAAATTTGTCCCGTTCATTACAAGTCCCGGTAATTCTGACAAAAAATCTTGGTCAAACTCGATTTAGTCATCTTAAAAAAAAAGACTATTTGAATGTTTTGGGGGCAAATTAATTTGGGTTTAATAAATCTTACCAGCGCACCTCGTAGTACCTGGTGGATAGCGCGCAGGACTCTTAATTCTGTGGCGCAGGTTCGATTCCCGCATGAGGCAGAAACAAATGGGCAAAGTTTCTTTCACCCTGAATGCCCCTGTTACCTAGCAGTAAATAGGTACCTGGGTGTTAGTCAGCTGTCACGGGCTGCTTCCTGGGGGCAGAGGCCTGGTCGAGGACCAAGCCGTGGGGACACTAAAAGCCCCGAAATCATCTCAAGATAACCTTTGTATTAGTGTTGGAAAGAATGTACCATGTACCAACATTCACTTTATGCATGATTAATGTACCAGGACTATTTGTAGGTTACTCTGAACTAGTCACGCATTCCTAGTCAATAAAGGTATTTCTATACATCTCAAATCACCACTTGCAACAAAGTTCCAACGGCAGGTAAAAGATTTAAGAACCCCAAAGCCCCAATAAACGTGCAGCGAAACAGTAACTCAATCTGTTGAAATATTTGACCTAGAAATGTAAGCAATGTCTACCAATGGAACTCTACAGCTTGATAAGCTCGCTAAAAGCAAAAGGTTACCATATAAAGTGTCATTCACACGTCTGTGGAAATAAACGTCTCATTCACCCTGGAGTGTTTCCGGAGTATGTCTACTCCACGAGCCCGGCCTCGGGCTCGTGGCCTGAGCCCAGCCTGAGACCCGAGCTGTAGTGGTCACGAACCACGGACCCCCACACGTGTGAGCTTACCATCTTTATATAGGTGGCTATTGCAATGTGAAACTATGGTTATCTCGAGATGATTTCGGGGCTTTTTTATTAGTGTCCCCGCGGCCCGGTCCTCGACCAGGCCTCCACCCCCAGGAAGCAGCCCGTGACAGCTGACTAACACCCAGGTACCTAGTTTACTGCTAGGTAACAGGGGCATAGGGTGAAAAACTGCTCATTGTTTCTCGCCGGCGCCTGGGATCGAACCCAGGACCACAGGATCACAAGTCCAGTGTGCTGTCCGCTCGCCCGACTGACTCCCATAATACATAAAACTGGCTTTAAGAAAACAATTCAAAATACGCATGTATTAATAGGATAAATTAACTGGATGTGTCAAAAATGCCATACGTATTACATAAAATGCATCCCATTTTCATCAAGTGTTTTATAAAATTGAAGAAAATTAAAAATATTTGGCCAAATGGTTCGGCATCTGCTATACATCAACAATACCAAGATTACACGATTTTCACACTGCTTTACATTGCACTGATAAACATTCCACTTATTTCACAATGTGAGTCACAAGATACTGTGTAAAGCAGCCTCGTCCAAGAGCCCTAGAACACCTTCAGCAGCTCCTAATACCCAAGATCCTCGTCCAAGAGCCCTAGAACACCTTCAGCAGCTCCTAATACCCAAGAGCCTCGTCCAAGAGCCCTAGAACACCTTCAGCAGCTCCTAATACCCAAGAGCCTCGTCCAAGAGCCCTGGAACACCTTCAGCAGCTCCTATTACCCAAGATCCTTGTCCAAGAGCCATAGAACACCTTCAGCAGCTAATACCCAAGAGCCCTAGAACACCTTCAGCAGCTCCTAATACCCAAGATCCTTGTCCAAGAGCCATAGAACACCTTCAGCAGCTCCTAATACCCAAGAGCCTTGTCCAAGAGCCCTAGAACACCTTCAGCAGCTCCTAATACCCAAGATCCTTGTCCAAGAGCCCTAGAACACCTTCAGCAGCTCCTAATACCCAAGAGCCTTGTCCAAGAGCCCTAGAACACCTTCAGCAGCTCCTAATACCCAAGAACCTTGTCCAAGAGCCAACAACTTGTCAAAAAAGTTTGATCGAAATCGAACGAGTTTTCATTTATTGCATATTTTTGGACTTGAAAGATGCTTAGATGTGCCAGAAAAGCCATGAAAACAAAACAATACAGAATGTGTGTTCCACCGACAGTCTGCCTGGGGTTTGATCCTTTACCAAGCCCACAGGTTTGGGTTACAAGTTACGGTGGACGTCACGGTTGTGTCCGGAGTTCACCATGGTCGGGTCTGGTATTCTGCTACCCTTGCTAACGAAGCAGTTCTATGCTTGCAAGATCATCTTTGCTCTTGTAAAGCCCCTCAGTTATCTGCCTACTGTTTAGTGCGAGCCTCAACTTTTCCTATAGGGTGTTTGTTCCCTCGAGCAGGATTTGGCTCGGGGGTTCTCGTTCCTCCAGTTATGTCCTCAGGATGCCTCATAGCTGGGTGGACAGCGTTTCGGATTCGCAGTCCTGAGGTTCCGGGTTCGATCCCCGGTGGAGGCAGAGACAAATGGGCAAAATGTTTCTTTCGCCCTGATGGGCATCAGGGCATCTGTTACCTAGCAGTAAATAGGTACCTGGGAGTTAAACAGCTGCTAAGGGCTGCTTCCTGAGGGTGGAGGCCTAGTCGAGGACACCAAACCCCAAAATCATCGAGATAACCGCTGTCCTCACTCAAGGTAACCACCACCGGGTTCGCAAGGTCCAAGCTATTTCCCCTTGGCCGGCTTTTGGTTCACCGGTTTCCTCTTTGGGTGTTCTGGGGTTTCGTAGCACTTTCCTTCCTATGTTGCTGCCTTTGGTAAAGGCGGCGTCTTAGCCATTGGAGGAGTTATTCTATTGACTGGCTGGGGATGCATCCCTGTCCTCTTGAGACTATCCCTCACCAAGCACATGATCACGGCCACTTCAAAAGTTTGCCGTTTTCCTTGTACCGTATCTTCCAACAAGTCTTGGGCTAATATCCAGACTTTTGTCCATCTTACTGGTAGTTTGTTACCTGGACTGTGTCTCTGGTACCCACTGGGCCATACATTGGGGGTAGTGTTTACTACTTCCTCCCCACCTTTGTGAGCAGGTCCAATGCACCCCGTCCCTGTTTCCTGATTATAACGTTTCACTAGTGTGCTGTTCAACACGCTTCCACTACACATAACTGGCAGACCCCTCACAGTGTTCAAGAGGGAACTATCAACATCAGAGGCCCGAGACTGTTCAACATGCTTCCACTACACATAAGGGGCATAACTGGCTGACCCCTCACAGTGTTCAAGAGAGAACTATCAACATCAGAGGCCCGAGACTGTTCAACATGCTTCCACCACACATAAGGGGCATAACTGGCTGACCCCTCACAGTGTTCAAGAGGGAACTATCAACATCAGAGGCCCGAGACTGTTCAACACTCTTCCACTACACATAACTGGCCGACCCCTCACAGTGTTCAAGAGAGAACTATCAACATCAGAGGCCCGAGACTGTTCAACACGCTTCCACTACACATAACTGGCCGACCCCTCACAGTGTTCAAGAGAGAACTATCAACATCAGAGGCCCGAGACTGTTCAACACGCTTCCACTACACATAACTGGCCGACCCCTCACAGTGTTCAAGAGAGAACTATCAACATCAGAGGCCCGAGACTGTTCAACACGCTTCCACTACACAACTGGCCGACCCCTCACAGTGTTCAAGAGAGAACTATCAACATCAGAGGCTCGAGACTGTTCAACACGCTTCCACTACACATAAGGGACATAACTGGCAGACCCCTCACAGTGTTCAAGAGAGAACTATCAACATCAGAGGCCCGAGACTGTTCAACACGCTTCCACTACACATAACTGGCTGACCACTCACAGTGTAAAGAGAGAACTATCAACATCAGAGGCCCGAGATTGTTCAACACGCTTCCACTACACATAACTGGCCGACCCCTCACAGTGTTCAAGAGAACTGAATAAACACCTTCAAAGAATATCTGATCAACCAGGCAATCAATACCTAATCAATTCATACATCAGGCTGCGAGCAGCCACATCTAACAGCCTGGTTGACCAGTTAAGCAACCAGGCAGCCTGGTCGACGACCGGGCCGTGGGGATGCTAAGCCCAGGGAACACTTCAAGGTAACTTCAAGTTAGCATTTTGCATCTTTAGTTAGATTACATTTCCACAACAACTTCAGTTATAACCCAAACAATTTTTTTAAAACACGACTAATCTGTGCAGGGGTTCATCTATGCTCGTACCAATTATAGCAGGGAATGTGGCAATGGGCCAGACCCAGAGAGAAGCGTGCGCTATAAAACTAGTACCAGGAGATACTTGGCCATTCAAGATTTGCAAGGTTTAAATAATATATTAAGGCTAACTTCAGTAATAGACCTTATTGCTCGGCCAAATTATAACGACATGTAATAGCAAAAATTTGAGTAACGGCTTATAAATTGTGCAAAATAGTGACACCTCGATTAACGAGTTTAATCCGTTCCAGCACCGAGCTCGTGTGGAAAACTCGTCTTGCGAAACAACAACAAAACTGTCGTAAAAGGTCTCCAAGAACCAGCATAAACGCTTGTTAATCGAGGAAAAACTCGTCAGTAGAGACAAATGTTCTGCGAGTGGCTCAATCGTTACTCCAAATACTCTTAGATAGAGCCGCTCGTTAATCGAGGTGCCACTGTACTATAACAGCGAAAGAAAATTTGAGATATCAATACATAATTGAAAAGAAATGTATATTGTATTTACCTGTACCACGAAGGACGTTTGAGAATGCACCCTTGAAGAAGGCAGCAGACCCTTCATTCTTTGCAATCTTCTTCCAGCAATCGATTGTGTTCTTGTACATGATATCGCCTCCTTTGCGGCCAGACTGCATCATCATGCGCCTACGCACGGTGTCAAATGGATACGAAATAATGCCAGAGATCGTAGTTACAGTCTGAGCAATCACCCAAGAGATGAAAATGCCACCACTCTTCTCCGGAAGCATGCCCTTAGCGGTGTCGTAGAAGCCGAAGAAGGCAGCACGGTAAATAATGATGCCTTGTACCGATACGCCGAACCCTCTGTAAAGACCAATGAGGCCATCTGCTTTGAAGATCTTCACGAGGCAGTCGCCCAACCCCTTGAATTCACGCTGTTCAGGGCCCTTGCCAATGTCGGCAGCCAACCTGTAAAAGTAGCCCGAGTAAGACATTTTGTTCATGGCACAAGTTATATAAATTACAAACTGCCTGGCATGTATTCCAAAGGATACATATCAACCAGGCTGTGACTCAAACATCAGGCTGCGAGCAGCCGCGTCCAACAGCCTGGTTGAAGACCGGGCCACGGGAACGTTAAGCCTCGAAAACACCTCAAGGCGAAGTACACAAAATCATCATACTGATTTTAATTGAACTACGCATCCAGCCTTAAGGGGGCGTCTGGTTGGGATCTGGGTCCAAAAATGAAAACTCATTTGATTTCAATCAAACTTTTTTGACAAGTTCTATATGAAAAGCATTTCATCTGGTCCAAGTTTCAGCATCGTAGCATAAATAGGAAGGGAGAAAAAAAATATTGAAGTAGTTGTGAAAATTATGCAAAAATGGTCAAAATAGATTATCAATCAAAAGTGTCCACTGAAATCATAACTACAACTCTTTGCTATCACAATAGCATATTAAACAATTATAATTAGTTTAATTGGAACAAATTTTTTTTTTTTTTTTTTTTTGGGTGATTTGCATTAAACTTACACACCTGACTGTACGTAAGCCTATCCGTAAGGACGCCAATTTTGGAGAAAATTGGTTGATGTCAACCTCAGCCACAGATTTTAGAACCTTAAGACTTTATTCGTTTCTGTTATTTTTTCAATTGACACAAACGTTTACAAAACCGATTCCTTTTTTATTCAATTTACATGAAACTTACACAGTGTATGTGGAGGGCATGTCTCTACATTGGGGGGCTTTCATTTTTCTCTAAGTTCATTTATTGATTTTATAATAGCAATAAACATGCCATATTTACAAAAAAAAATTTGGGCAACTTTGAACATTTGTATTTGGAAAAAACTAAAGATGTTTTGGAAATTCTAAATCCCCAAATCCTTTATTATATGCTAATGTGTCAGAAAAGTGTCACAGAATAATTATATCTGAAACGTGTGTTCTGAAGTGTGGACTTGAAAATGTGTAAAAAACGTTGAAAAAAACAAAAAAAAACTCCCTTTCTATTTACGCTGCAGTACTGAAACATGGGACAATTTAAGCACTTTTTCATATACTGTACAACTAGAAAATTAATATTGGTTGACATTGAACAACTTTCACTATAATAACCAGACGCCCCCTTAAATATACTGTACTTAAAGTTACGCCATATTTATACTTACTAGTCAATGACCGAGTACAGTACCGATGCAAATTTAACTCTAGAATCATTGTTAAAATTACTAATTACCTCAAGTCTGTTTAGCCTATAATGAACTATATTTAACTTAGTGCTAAACATGTCCCTACTTGTCTTTCTAACACAAAAGATACCAACATTTGCCTTTAGTTAAAAATCCAGCTGCATATCTTTAAAGCCATATCTACTGATAACTTATCTGTACACAAACTTTCATTTCTCATGCAGACGAGGAGTCACAACGTGGCTGAAAGGTTAACCAGACCACACACTAGAAAATGAAGGGACGACGACGCTTCGGTCCGTCCTGGACCATTCACAATCTACTCTAGAATGGTCCAGGACGGACCGGAACATCGTCGTCGTCCCTTCATTTCCACGTCTCCTTGCCCCCAGAAACTCGCCTGGTTCGCGCGAAGTCAAGAGGGTAGACAAAGCAGAGGGAGGTGGCACCGGCAGCACCACCAGAGGCAAGATTACCGAGGAAGAACCTCCAGAACTGCTTCTTCTTGTCAACACCGCCAAGGAAAATCTACGGAGAAAACAAAATGGTTAATTTCGTCTAATTGATCACCCCACTTCTGCTGCTGCTGGGGAGGGGGGGGGGGGGAAGGTAGAAATAACCTGAGCTACTACACAGATCACTAACGTGATGCATCAAATCAACAAATCCACAAGGGCCGTGACGAGGATTCGAACCTGCGTCCGGGAGCATTTAACCTTGTCGTAGCTCAGTCGATTAAGGCAGTGTCTGGGATGCACCCGGACGCAGGTTCGAATCCTCGTCACGGCCCTTGTGGATTTGTTCACCTAAGCTACTCTATCCCTTTGAGATGTATTTCTTTCTTTGTCTCAAACATACTTGAACTTCTGCCGCATCTTAGATTATTTTTCTAAAATAATGTCAAAACTTCACTATAAAACACAAAAATAAAAATTCGTTGCAATTAATCCAGTTAAGAGATTTCTTAACTATGCCCAAGTAATTTTATCAAGACATTAACTAGATAGAAAGGCTCAATATACAAAACTATGTAAAAATCTTTTCAATACCTCAATTACCTAAAAACAAGCAAAGTGGATTTACAGTACATCACGACACATGACTAAATTGGATTTACAGATTTGGCAAAAGTTTTACAGGGCCACCCAAGACAGCATTAAACTAGATTTGACATCTTAAAAGTAATTCAACATTTAATGATTTCACACACGCTCAACGATATACAGTTTAATGTTTTGAACCTATTTTAAAAATCTTTAACTTATTTCTAACAAGTAACTTCTGCCACACCATACATTCTTAAGAGCACAGATCAATGATGATTCATTACCTTTAAAACTCTACCAACTGCCACACCACCCATTCTCTATGTTATTTATTCCCCACTTTCAATATTTTAATTAGTCAATCCAAAAACGAGTATTTTTGGAATCTAAATTGGTCAATTATTACCCATGTTGTACTCTTAATACAAGGCACACAGTAAATTAAGCTCGCTCTATTTCAAATTTAACAATTCTGCCTTCCATAATTCTTCATTGCACACGGTAAACTAAGCTCTCTCTCTATTTCAAATTTAACAATTCTGCCTTCCATAATTCTTCATTGCACACGGTAAACTAAGCTCTCTCTCTATTTCAAATTTAACAATTCTTCATTGGGATCCATTTAAGTATCCGTGCTGCTTAGTACTCTCTACAATCATGATTGCACCTTTCAACTGCACAATGAAATTAAATTTTAATACAAATTTAACTATTCCACCATTTTGGAAGTGCATACTAGCTTCAGTAACCCGTAGTACAGTCCCCCACAGTAGGAAGACACTTTGTCTACTATAAATGCTCCACACTTACTGTGTGCTACTAGCTTCTCAATATTACATATTATGTGTGTGTGTGCATTTTGCACATTACCACTACCAAATTCTCCTACTAAGATCATTACAGTCCTCTTGCAGAGTATAGCAAACCAACCGTATCTCAATCACACTCCGAGTGGCTCTCTGACGCAGGTTCGAATCCTCGTCACGGCCCTTGTGGATTTGTATCTCAAATCATTTCTATGTAATACAAGGCCAAATATTTTAAAGCTTGCCGTTTATCACAACTTCAGCTTGCCCTGATCACAAGTCCAGCACGCTGGACTTGTGATCCTGTGGTCCTGGGTTCGATCCCAGGCGCCAGCAAGAAACAATGGGCAGAGTTTCTTTCACCCTATGCCCCTGTTACCTAGCAGTAAAATAGGTATACCTGGGTGTTAGCCAGCTGTCACAGGCTGCTTCCTGGGGGTGGAGGCCTGGTCGAGGACCGGCCCCGCGGGGACACTAAAAAGCCCCGAAATCATCTCAAGATAACCTTATTATCACAAAAACAAATAAGGTATGAATTACCCACCTGTTTGTATTTGTCCTTGAAAGCAAAGTTGAGGGCCTGAGTGGGGAAATAACGAATAACGTTGGCAAGGTTACCGCGCCAGTAGGCAAGCACTCCCTGTTCTTTAGGGATACGCACAAAACAGTCTACCATGCCTGCAAAGGAAAGAAAATGTTAAAATGACACGTCTAATTATTCAACACAAAATACCTGTAGTAGACAGAACACGAAACAACGGGTATAAATTGCATAAGTTTAGATTTAGGAAAGACTTGGGTAAATACTGGTTCAGTAACAGGGTTGTTGATTTGTGGAACCAATTGCCGCGTAACGTGGCGGAGGTGGGGTCCCTCGATTGTTTCAAGCGAGGGTTGGACATGTATATGAGTGGGATTGGGTGGTTATAAATAGGAGCTGCCTCGTATGGGCCAATATGCCTTCTGCAGTTGCCTTTGTTCTTATGTTAGTCAATATCAACATTTCCAAACTGGCTTTTTATGGTAAAACGTTCACAAGTTGATCCCTCCGACAATAATTGTCTTATAATGTAATTGTGGTGCACAAATTCTGCTAGTAGTACATACACAGCATGGACGTGCTAGTCAACAATTTTGCAAATCCTGTCCAAAGGTCAGACACTCAATCTAGGTGGGAAGGGAATTGGGGGAAACAAGTCATTACGACTATATAACACTTTGAGAGGGTTACGATAAGGATTTGGGATTGGGGGGGGGGTGTGCCCAATCCTTGACTGTCGGACTAAACACACAGTACGTGTTCTGTGTGCAGGACTTGGACCTTAGGCCTATTTATATTTGATTTAAGCTTCGTCCCTGAAGGGACGTCGTCGTCCCTCCATTTTCTAGTGTGGGGATTGTTCAAGTGAATGAAAATTTGTAAACAAGTCCATGATAATCTTTCAGAAATACACTACTGAAATTCTCCAAACATTACTACGTATAACTAAAAAGCTCCGAAAAACAGATTTCTGTATTGTAATGCACTTCAAAATTATTAGTAATCTGCCTATAATAAATTATCTCTCGATTGACTTATCGACATGCTTAATAAAACTGACATTCATCCATTTCTACCAAAACATGGCAATCAAAACCTGCATATTTGAACAGTTTCAGGACTAACATTTTTCTTAACCACAGCTATTAAACTGCTTCTTGGGCCACCATATTAAACACTAGTTCTATACCTCTTCGTGACAAACTTAAGAAAACACAAGAATGAATGTAACTGCAGAAGGGCCATTCAAGGCAGTTCCTATTTATATCCACCCAATCTCCCTATGTCATACCTAACTTGAAACAATCTAGGGATTCTTCCTTTTATCATATTACATGGTAACTTGGCCAATGGAACCAAACTTAGATTAGCCTAGTTAAATGTCCTTATGGATACTTCCAATGGGAAAACTTGCTGGGCTGAGACCTGTATAGACGAATCCCTTTCGACCAGACCACACTAGAATATGAACGGACGACGACATTTCGGTCCGTCCTGGACCACTCAAGTCGACAATCTACTTTAGAATGGTCCAGGACGGACCGAAACGTCGTCGTCGTCCCTTCACATTCTAGTGTGTGGTCTGGTCAACATACTTTAGCCACGTTATTGTGACTCATCGCCTGCAAATCCCTTTCGATTATACAACATAGCATTACCATTCTGTGATTTCTCAATTGAAAGAGGGGCATCAGAGATAAAATTACTGGACGACACAGCCAGAGTGCATGGGGGGGGGGGGGGGCAACTGTGTGAAACGCTGGTTCAGCTTCAGTGAAAAAGTCTCGGGAATCCTCGAGGGTGTAGCAGTACCCCAGGTTGGGTTTTTACCCCAACTACACATTGCCTCGAGCAGCCCACATATCCACTACACACTATATCGCTATTGATCTAGCACCTCCTGCAGATACTTAGCTAGGTGCTTAAGTGGTACACCTGTCTTGTAGCAATATTTATTCAGCGTGTTGGAAGAGTATTGAACACCCTCTGATGTTCATAATGCACTTTATCTATGCCAGTTATACTCCCTACTGGTCCTATTCTGTATTTCCTTCTATGGCTTTCATCAGTGTTCTTTTACTATGAAAATTTTGAACTTGGCCTTTCATTATCTTCCATGTACTGTAAATATTTTATGTCTCATTTTCATCGTACATCGAATCGAGCACATCGAGAGCCTTGGCCGTCCTAATAATTTAGGTGCGTTACTGTGTCCATTCATGCCATTCACGTTCTCTATATTGCCTCACACATCTCGCTCTGAAAGGGAACTATCAGGAGAGTGCGCCAAGCCATTACGACTATATAGCACTGGGAAGGGATCCAGATAAGGGATGGGGACGGGGGAAAGGAATGGTGCCCAACCACTTGTGGACGATCGGGGATTGAACGCCGACCTGCATGAAGCGAGACGGTCGCTCTACCCTCCACCCCCAAGTGCTTGGGCACTCTGAAAGGGGAAGCGAGTATCGAGCAGTGCTCAAGGCGCGACACCAATCATTTAAATACCGACAGTGTAAGGATCCCAGGATTTTAACATTCTTAACATTATGCTATCATTTCCCCTTGATTCATGTTCACATTATATCCAACCGCTAAACTACATTCCCTAAGGAATAACTACCTGTCCAATATTTAAATCAATACAATTTAAATTTGGCCAATTTATGGGAATTAAAACCTAATTATTTGGGGAGTATTATGTTCAGAGCTAAATACCCTGCCTGTAATGCACCTTTTTCAATTACTCTAAATTTACAAATTCAGTTTAGCATAGTTTTTAAAGGGATATTCCTTATGCCAACAGTTACTGCTATAGCCTCCACCTGACACGCATCCAATACCACCGTGTCCCCAATTATTAAACCTACCAATGGAAATAATAGACCATTTGGTCTATTACAAGACCAATAATAGACCATTTGTATCGTCCATTTGTCTACTATCAATTTAAAACTTGAGCTAAATAGATGAAACCTGGTTGATGGGGTTCTGGGAGTTCTTCTACTGCCCCCAAGCCCGGCCCGAGGCCAGGCGAGACTTGTGAGAGTTTGGTCCACCAGACTGTTGCTTGGAGCGGCCCGCAGGCCCATAGTGAAGGTTATCCTGGAGCAGTATATCATGCTGGTATACTGGAGCAGTATATCATGCTGGTATACTGCCATGGAGCAGTATGATATGGTAACATAAGCACATCCAACACTCGTGGCTAGGCCCCCCCCCTAACCCACACCCGTGGCTAGGCCCCCCCCCTAACCCACACCCGTGGCTAGGCCCTCCCCCCCTAACCAACACCCGTGGCTAGGCCCCCCCTAACCCACACCCGTGGCTAGGCCCCCCCCTAACCCACACCCGTGGCTAGGCCCCCCCCTAACCCACACCCGTGGCCAGACCCCCCCTATCTTGAGGTTATCTTGAGATGATTTCGGGGCTTTAGTGTCCCCGCGGCCCGGTCCTCGACCAGGCCTCCACCCCCAGGAAGCAGCCCGTGACAGCTGACTAACTCCCAGGTACCTATTTACTGCTAGGTAACAGGGGCATTCAGGGTGAAAGAAACTTTGCCCATTTGTTTCTGCCTCGTGCGGGAATCGAACCCGCGCCACAGAATTACGAGTCCTGCGCGCTATCCACCAGGCTACGAGGCAATTCCTATTAATATCCACCCATACTCATTCATATACAGATATATGTCTAACGTACGCTTGAAACAATCAAGGGATCCTACCTCTTATGTCACTTTCACAAACTGAATGGTTTGAACATGTGAGCTAACCTAACCCACACCCGTGGCTAGGCCCCCCCCTAACCAACACCCGTGGCTAGGCCCCCCCCTAACCAACACCCGTGGCCAGGCCCCCCCTAACCAACACCCGTGGCCAGGCCCCCCCTAACCAACACCCGTGACCAGGCCCCCCCTAACCCACACCCGTGGCTAGGCCCCCCCCTAACCAACACCCGTGGCTAGGCCCCCCCCTAACCAACACCCGTGGCCAGGCGCCCCCCTAACCAACACCCGTGGCCAGGCGCCCCCCTAACCAACACCCGTGGCCAGGCGCCCCCCTAACCCACACCCGTGGCCAGGCGCCCCCCTAACCCACACCCGTGGCTAGGCCCCCCCTAACCCACCCGTGGCTAGGCCCTCCCCCTAATCCACACCCGTGGCTAGCCCCCCCCTAACCCACACCCGTGGCTAGCCCCCCCCTAACCCACACCCGTGGCTAGGCCCCCCCCTAACCCACACCCGTGGCTAGCCCCCCCCTAACCCACACCCGTGGCTAGGCCCTCCCCCCTAACCCACACCCGTGGCTAGCCCCCCCCAACCAACACCCGTGGCCAGGCGCCCCCCTAACCAACACCCGTGGCTAGGCCCTCCCCCCTAACCCACACCCGTGGCTAGGCCCTCCCCCTAACCCACACCCGTGGCTAGGCCCTCCCCCCTAACCCACACCCGTGGCTAGGCCCTCCCCCCTAACCCACACCCGTGGCTAGGCCCTCCCCCCTAACCCACACCCGTGGCTAGCCCCCCCCAACCAACACCCGTGGCTAGGCCCCCCCCTAACCAACACCCGTGGCTAGGCCCTCCCCCCTAACCCACACCCGTGGCTAGCCCCCCCCTAACCAACACCCATGGCTAGGCCCCCCCTAACCAACACCCGTGGCTAGGCCCCAAGGGGAACAATAAGGGTCAACAGCACACGACGTTCTCCCGGTTGTATAATACAGCTGGAAAAGATCAAGAGGGGTTAGGGGGTGGGTTTGACAAGCCGCCGGCTTCCTGCTGGCCTCAAGGGGTCACACTAGTTCAGGTAAATTCAGGTAAAGAGGTCTTATGGGACTATTTAGTGAGGCCGGATGCCTCCAGCTGCGTCCTGCTACAGCCGGCCAAGGAGGATAGCCAGTCAAGGGATAGACGGTCAAGGGGATATAGCCGGCTAAGGGATAGCCGGTTAGGCTAGGGAATAGCCGGTCAAGGAAAGCCAGCCAAGGGATAGCCGGTCAAGAAGGATAGCCGGCCAGGCCAGGGGATTGCCGGCCAAGGGATAGCCGGTCAAGGCAGGTGATAGCCGGTCAAGGAAAGCCAGCCAAGGGATAGCCGGTCAGGCCTGGGATAGCCACAGTCAAGGACGATAGCCGGTGAAGGAGGATAGCCGGGCCGGGGATAGCCGGCCATCACCGGCACAAAACAAGATGGCCGCATCAGCTGTCCGGAGCCGGCTGTGTCTCCAAAGCCCCCAAAACCCTTATTTAACCCCATCCCCAGCCTCCCTATCCGGCCCCACGCCCCCCTAAACCCCCCACAAGCCCCTTTAAACCCCCTTAAACCCCCCCCTTAAACCGGACAAATATCCGGCTGCCAAAATGGCGGCCTGACTCACCCTTGTAGGCATTCTCGGCGCTGATCTGTTTGGAGGCGGCCTGGACCTGTAGGAGCAGCTTGACGCGCTCTATGGGCGCCACGGCCGTCTTGGAGATGGCGGCGGCGATGCCTCCGGCCAGAAAGTCCTTCAGGAAGCTGATAGGGTCCAGAGCCTTGCCCATGTTGGTGGTTCTTGTCCGGCGGAGATCACGAGAGAGAAAGAGGCTCGGGCAGAGATGGCGCGCCACCTCTATTCTAATATTTACGTCTGTGGGCCAATCATAAGCGTCCGTTTTCGTGACGTCATCAATACGTCACATTTGCGCCAATCACAAGCTTCCATTTTCATGACGTCAGCTCTACGTCATATCCGCTGCAGCTTCATTTTCTAAAAGGTGCACTGCCTCTAGCTACCTACGGATGCCAAGTATTGTTTCCCGCGAATTATTTTTCGTGAAAATAGAGCAAAATAGCTTCTTTCGTTAATATATTGAACTCCTATTTATATTTTCAACTGATCTTTAACTAGTCTTTAAATATATCGGCTTAAACATTATATCTTTCACTTGAAATATTACACGTATATATAAATTTCATTTCCCGTATTCCAATCTCTCTATAACAAGAGTGTGTGTATATTTACATTTCAAACAAACTCCACATGTATAAATTGCATTATTGCACCACTATGCTACATTAATAATAAAAATTAAAGCCAACTTAGCACCTCAGTCTTGCAATATTCCTATACATCTTTGCAAAGTTTGGGACCAATCTAGTTATTTTCAACCAAACTTGGCATTGGTCAGACCTGGTCACATGGGCTCCCGGGGGGCGACGTCCCCTCTTGTACCCCTCTAATGCCAAGCCAGACAGTCAATTCATCGCATAACTTTGTCCTATAACGTGGGGGCCTCTCTGCCATGCGAATATAAATATATATATATATATATGTTTTATCTATATACAGTATATATATATCAGTACACTAAAACCCGCGGAACCGCCTACCCGTCGAAGCCAAAATCCCTGCTGTAGGTTGTATAATACAGCTGGAAAAGATCGTCAGGGGCAAATGGGTGTACCTAAGCCATATAACTCCTATATAACATATAAATAAGGTTGTTACATGTGCTATCAGTGTGCTTAAATGTGCTTACTAATCTATATATCGTATTAACAAGATATCAACGTTTTCAGTCAAAGATTTCAATGTGGTTTAATATACTTACTAATCTCTCTAACATTTTATACAATAGACCTTTTATGATTGTATAAATTTTGCTAGAAATTACTTAATATTATGTGATAGATTAAGGCCCGAAATGCTATATAGGTGTTAATGGGTTTATAAGACTGTTAATACTTTATAATATGTATTCTAACTCTATGTAACTTATTGTATATATATATATATATATATATATATATATATATATATATATAATTAAATGAGTTAATGTGTAAATAAAGGTGATCAGAATAGGCTATTTGATGCTTTAATTGTTTTAATTATGAGTGATAGGCTTTAGGGTTACCTTGAGGTGCTTCCGGGGCTTAGCGTCCCCGCGGCCCGGTCGTCGACCAGGCCTCCTAGGGTGGTGATAGGCTGTGTAGGTAGGCCTATGGGTGGTGCAGGGATTGACTGGGCAACTATCTCTGCACCACCACGCTTCCTGCCTCACCTTCCCTTGGTATTGTCATGTTCTCCTTCCTCTACGGGGCTCGCCATAGCCGGTACTACTTGGATACTTCGTTCTGAGTTGCTGGTACACCCAGGGTACACCCAGGGTACACCCAGGGTACACCCAGGGTACCTTTCGACCCATTTTACTGCTGGGTGAACAGAGGCTAAAGTTTAGGAGTGGTGCCCAGTCAATCCTCCTCCCCCCCCGGCCAGGATTCGAACCCAGTGCTGGCTAAACGCCAGGCGAGTGACCCGAATTTGGCACGTTCCCTACTGAAGGATCTTGACAAAGATCAGTTTAAAACTTCCTGCAGGTCCGAGTTCAATCCCCGACTGTCCACAAGTGGTTGGGCACCATTATATATATATATATATATATATATATATATATATATATATATATATATATATATATATATATATATATATATATATATATATATATATATATGTCGTACCTAGTAGCCAGAACTCACTTTTTGGCCTACTATGCAAGGCCCGATTTGCCTAATAAGCCAAGTTTTCCTGAATTAATATATTTTTTCTAATGTTTTTCTAATGAAATGATAAAGCTACCCATTTCATTATGTATGAGGTCAATTTTTTTTATTGGAGTTAAAATTAACGTAGATATATGACCGAACCTAACCAACCCTACCTAACCTAACCTGACCTATCTTTATAGGTTAGCTTTGGTTAGGTAGCCCAAAAAGTTAGGTTAGGTTAGGTTAGGTAGGTTAGGTAGTGGAAAAACAATTAATTCATGAAAACTTGGCTTATTAGGCAAATCGGGCCTTGCATAGTAGGCTGAGAAGTGCGTTCTGGCTACTAGGTACGACATATATATATATATATATATATATATATATATATATATATATATATATATATGTACCTAAGTGGGCTAGTGATCCCTGGTCCGGACTTTAACACTTTGGCACACAAAGTGCTGGACGTGGCCCAACCTGTGTGACAGCAGCAGCAGCGCGCTGACTCTTTACACCATGCTGTGCTGTCTGCTGCGGGCTGGACACCACAGTCTGCATGATCAGGTGCTAGATAGGGCTGGGAGGGTCGTTGTACCCTAACCGCTGGCCCCAGGGCAGGAGGGGGGGGGAGGGTATTTGGGTCAAACATTCCATTGACCCTACCCACTTAGAGCCGCCTCCTACCCCCCCATTAACTATGGGGTAGAACGCCTCACTCCAGCGATAAACAACACAATTAAACAATGATAAAACAGGTACTAAACATGTAATAAAGTTATACCCTTCACTAACAGAAATGAGAGCAAAATTAGGCCAGTGTGATGACACAAGAGCCAGAGTTAAGATACTACTGGCAGGCGCCCAAGCCCACTCAGACACGTGAGAGGCTTATATCTTATCCCCCGCATTCAACCTGTCGTGATTAGGTAGGTAGGTAGGCCTACTGGCTGCGGTAGGCCTAACCTATAGGCTGTGGAGCCACAAACTGCGACCCAGTTCAAGTGACCCAAATTTGAATTTAAATTTGGCGCGCGGGAGCCGTTAACGGTTTCTAGCTGAGCACGTGGTCAAATTTTGGTAAATACAGCCATAATACAGCTCAAATACAGCTACAATACACGTTTAAAGAAGCCACATTGACTGTCCACCTGTCTGATGAGCCACGCCATGATGTGATGAAGTTTAAATAGCCATTGTCATCAAAGTTAATCTCTCCTGATTAGCCAACATTGCTCAATAGCCTGATAAACAATTCTCCAACTGCCTTATCTCCTCTTATCATCAAAAATATGTAACTACACCTGTAACCCTGTGTAGTCTAGGTACATGACGATATATATTTCTCTATATAGCATCTTAATCTTATAGCATCTTAGTCATATAGCATCTTAAATATGCCCAGCTTTTAACTCCCTAAAAATGCTAAGATACGAGCCCAAAATATAAAACTATCGACGCGTTTGTGTACGTCAGACAAGGGCTGCCAAAACGGTTCTGTTGGCCTGGCCAGATTCTCAACGTCATATTGGACTCCATTTATAACTAATATCCTAATGTAATCTTGCCTAATTGACGATATCACGCTATCTAGTGGATGGTTTTGGCTGCCCTAATTACCTGGGGCCAGATTCACGAAGGGGTTACGCAAGCACTGACGCACCAGGGGCAAGATTCACGAAGCAGTTACGCAAGCACTTATAAACCTGTACATCTTTTCTCAATCTTTGGCGGCTTTGTTTACATTTATTAAACAGTTTACAAGCACGAAAACTTGCCAATCAACTGTTGTTATTGTTATAAACAGCCTCCTGGTGCTTCGGAGCTCATTAACTGTTTAATAATTGTAAACAAAGCCGCCAAAGATTGAGAAAAGATGGACAGTTTCGTAAGTGCTTGCGTAACAGCTTCGTGGATCTGGCCCCGGGTATGTGGGCATGAGGGGCCCATGTGGGGGGTAGAATTATGAGTATGAGGTGCCTGGGGGGGGACCATGTGGGGGTAGAGTTATGAGTATGTGGGCTCATGTGGGGTAGAGTTATGAGTATGAGGGCCCATGTGGGGTAGAGTTATGAGTATGAGGGGCCCATGTGGCGTAGAGTTATGAGTATGAGGGCCCATGTGGGGTAGAGTTATGAGTATGAGGGGCCCATGTGGGGTAGAGTTATGAGTATGAGGGGCCCATGTGGCGTAGAGTTATGAGTATGAGGGCCCATGTGGGGTAGAGTTATGAGTATGAGGGCCCATGTGGCGTAGAGTTATGAGTATGAGGGCCCATGTGGGGTAGAGTTATGAGTATGAGGGCCCATGTGGGGGTAGAGTTATGAGTATGTGGGCCTGGGGGGCCCATGTGGGGGTAGAGTTATGAGTATGTGGGACCATGTGGGGGTAGAGTTATGAGTATGAGGGCCCATGTGGGGTAGAGTTATGAGTATGTGGGTCAGAGAAGGCACCAATGCGCGCCATATTTACTACCCAGAAGCTGTCGCCCAAGTCGTGAATTTCTCCACAATAAACAATGCCAAACTGAATGAAAAACACAAACACCTGACTGCAAATCAACAATTACATATATGACATGACGGAATATATAATTTTATGGCAAAATTTAATTGAATGGAATGATTTTTGAGTATATTTGGCTATAGTGAGAGCGGGAGTGATCGCGCCTCTGGCACCCGAGCGATCAGCTGACGGCAGCCATGACGCAATGTTGCCGGCGATGGTGCCACTTTTTACTATTATAAAATCACTACAATCACCTTCTGTGGTTGATTGTTCAATAAATCACTATACTATATGTTCAATACATCTCTCACCCTGTCTATAGATAACAGAATAACATGTATATATGCTAGTTAGCATTGTAAATATGTGGCCGCGTCTGTGGTACAGATTAATACAAAAAAACTAAATCTTATTTTTCTCCTACAATGACGTACAAATACCCAAGGGTTCACTATAACGGGTGTTGCAGCAGTTATCCTGCTATCCTGGCAAATGTTACGATAGCTGGAATGAGTCAATGGCCTTCAATTACGATATAGTTCAAAGGGAATTTAAAATAAGG